TAACAGCGCCATCGCTATCACATCGCGACGCGTCGCGCACAACACAAGCTAAACCGCAGTCAAGGTCACAGGCAACGCCACCATTGCAAGCGCGGGTACAACAAGCGTCACCAGTGCTAGAGTGCGCCACCCGGTGCAGAAGCTTCAGTTACCGACATATCAAGTAGGGTAAGTTTTCTTTTTTTATCAAGTAAATATTTTCTTTTTGTCTCCTGTACAGGTTGTTAGTGGTACATTTGGTGTATGGATTGAAAACTTCGGGTTTGGTTCATCCAACTAAGAAGCAAATTCATTAATTTATGGCCACTGGACTAGAGTTTTCAATTTTTAATGTTAATGGACAATCAGCACTGAATCTTGTTTTTAGAATGATAGGTATTTATTAATGCTGAAGATCTAGAAAAGGATTTCGATAATTTAGTTTTGAAGATAAAAAGGAGAGTTTGATTGGTTATCAAATTTCATAATTTTGTGGAGGGAAAAACTAGACAAATAAGTATTCTATGCTTATTATAGGGCGTACATGATTACAGTTTTCAGACATGATATTTTCTTGAAATTAAATATCAAGAAGTAGGTGAGCTCAATGAGCTCCCTTTAATGTTGTGGTTTGATAGTGACATATCATAGGACAATACCTCCATGGCCATTTCTAAGCTCAATTAAAATCTTAGCTGGAAGGCCTTCCTTTCGCTAAACATCTCTTTGCTGTTTTGCATCATGTAAGGCCATCAGGAGTTCCTTTTTCTTGTCCTGTTTTCTGGCTTAGGTATGTGCTTTTTAGTGCCGACACTGAATTTTGCTTTAAGTGGTAATACATTGAGCATCTAAAGGATGTATACTTATAGGTTGCAAAATTTTTATATTTATTACTTCTCTCCCCCTCCTACAGCTACATCAAAAAGAATATCTGTATCTTGATTACCAACTTCACAAATATGCCTCTTTTAGATGCATCTTATGCAAGTATGATGTATCATTCTTGTTAACTTTGCACATATGTGTTTCTTTAGGAAGCAAGAATCCCCTAGCTCAAGACCGCATGCCAGTATTGAAGCGAAGGATTGTACTCCGAAGAAACAAAGACAGTGTAACTGTAAGAATTCTCGATGTTTGAAGCTGTAAGTATGGTCTCCTTTATATGGTGTTTTAGTTCTAGAAAATGCTTTCAGTTGGCTCTTTGCTTTTTTCCTCTTAGCACCTGCATCTTTCATGGAAAATTTGGACAAGTCACTTGTGCCTGCCCATAATGAGGGGTTTTACTAACTATGAGGGGTTTTACTAACTATCCCATTAAGGGAAGTGTGTGTTTAGTCCTGGGAAATCTAATGGTACTAATTTACTCTTCTTCTATCTTTTAGGTGGTATCCTAACCTGTAGACTTGGGTTTGTCTTTAGTTTTCTGTACGATCGAATTGGATTTTTTAACAAATTATACCAATGAATTGCTTTGTGGCAGAAAAAAGTTTTCTTTTTTTTCCATAAATATGGAGAATGCATTATTGAGGTGTTTTTTTTCCAACCATTTTGCATCAATCCCTACATTTTCCTTCCTTTCTGTTTTGAATCCAATATTTTTCTTCCATGCCATAAAGTCATGGAATTCCTTTAAGTGGAAGTGACTAAGTGCTTCCAGATCCTGTGTGAGGAAAGCAAAATGAACATGCTACAAGTCCTTTACTAATTTAACCTATAGGTTATGTTTGAGTCTATATGCTAATTCTATAGAATATGAATATAAATAAATAGGCATTGGGCATTAGTTGGAATAGAGTAATGCTACATTTGTAATTTGTAATCTCTATCTACCAAATAAAAATACAGACTGTTCATTTTAGAATTGAATAATCGATAATAATTGGAAATTGCAAATCAAATGTGTATGTAATTATCTAATACTTCATTTAAAATATCAAAAAATAGAATGAGAATAGAATAGCAATTGAAGCAAATTAGATCATTTTAGAATTATAATTCTCTATTATTCAGTGATTTTTTCTTCTATACTTTGAATTTATTTAATAAGTTGATAACTCAGGTGGTTTGTAATTTAACTAGCCTATGAATGCCTTAACCTTGTCATTTGAACTTAAATTGTTTCTAGATTTGCTTTTTGTTTGTTGCTTAATATTCTTCTACTTTCATTTCAATTATAATGTCTATACACGAGCAAAATATTGCTATTTTTAGGTATTGTGAGTGCTTTGCTGCTGGAATTTATTGTGATGGTTGCAATTGCCTAAATTGTCACAATAATGTGGAGAATGAGGATGCTAGGCAAGATGCAGTTGGAGCAACGTTAGGGCGAAACCCAAATGCATTCAGACCAAAGATTGCTAGCAGTCCATGTGGATCTCATAATGCAAAGGTATTTCGTGCAAATCTGTGAGTTTTCATGGAACTTCAATTGATTTCTAAGTAACTGAAAAGCATTAATGTGGATGGTTCTCTTGAGGTTTTTATACATGCATTAGCAATATTGATCTATCACATTTATTTAGTTCTAGCTGCATCACCACTTTCCTCTCTCTCTCCATTCTGATCTGCATGCATACACACACACATCACCAAATATACATTTAATTTTTTTGAAAGAAATTATTGACCTTTCAGAAAGTTATGGATAATGGCTCTAAAAAGCAATGATAAGGGATGTTAATAGTATTCATGCCTATATATATATATATATATATATTTAATTCATGCTTAATCTTTGAAAAATTTTAACCAAAATTTAGCTCAAGAGTCAAGTGGAAACTCTAATGATCTTATATGATTGGTGTGCATTTAAAATGTCATCAACACAACTCTAGGAGGATCTGGAGGAAGTTCAGATGGTGGGAAAGCACAATAAAGGATGTCACTGCAAGAAATCAGGATGCCTTAAGAAATATTGCGAGTGTTTCCAAGCCAATATTCTATGCTCTGAAAATTGTAAATGCCTGGAATGTAAAAATTTTGAAGGAAGTGAAGAAAGAAGGGGCGTCCTTCATGGAAATCCTAATACCATTGCCTATGTGCAACAGGCAGCCAATGCAGCCATTACTGGGGCCATTGGCTTGTCCGGCTATGTGGCTTCTACAGCAACAAAGAAGAGAAAGATTGAGGAACTCTTATTTAGCCTGGCTGCCAAAGAACCATCCATTCAAATGGCTGCAAAATGTCAACAGGTGACTATTTTGTGGCACTACTGCATTTAAGAATGGATATATTGATTGATCAAAACTATAAATTGGCTAAATTATCATTTTAATGGGCTTTCATATTGAGATACACATCTTCTCTTCCAAGTAGTTTAGAAAGTGAACGAACTTGAATCACTAATAAATTCTTGTTATTGTTAATCATTCTAAAATTAGTATTAAATCTTTGCATCTTTTATTGCTTTTGGCAGTCAACTTCTCCTAATTTTTGTAGTTTATGGTTTTATATGTCTGAAATCAACTTTAGTTCAGTACCCTTTGATGTGTGAAAAACTACATATACTCTGGTTGATCATTGAGGACAATGAAAAAACTGTGAAGCTTTTGTCAGCTTCTTTTGAGTTGCAAATAGTTATGAGATTGAGTTATAATCTTTTCTATTTTACCATTTAATGTCTTCCATTTCCTACAGAATGAATGCATAACATTTTTTTTTTTGTAAAATTTTAAATTCCAATCAGGAAAATCCTCTCTGCAATCATTCAGTCTCTTCTCTTTTATCAGTCCCTGTTTCTCAAACTGTGAATAGAGCGGTATTGGGATCCTCCAAATCACCATACAGGTCAGCCTTTTATATCCTTGTTGTGCAAACCTTCAAATCAGAACTTCCTTTTGATTATTCTTTCAGAAACTAATTGGCTCAACTGATCATGATTGAAGGTCTCCATTGGCGGACATCCTCCAGCTGCAGGATATACAGAAACTGTGCTCAGATATGATCATAATCTCATTGGGAGCTACGCTGACACATGAAGGTATATCATGTTTTACACAAAAATGCACATATATATGTTTCTGTGTAGAAGTGGCAAACAAATTGGTTCTCATCAGTCCTGTAAGTCTGGATACAGCCTCGACTAGTCTATTGTTCCCAAATAAACTACTCTTGGTCCAGATTCTTTTTTTTCAATAAAAAAAAAATCAGAAATGATGCTAATATTCAACTAAAAGAAAAAACTCAGTTTTAGTAATAATATAGTTAGATAATATAAGATGCACTTGTTTCTGGACATGCTTATGAAGAGAGTTATGTATTTTCCAGTGTCTAGGAGAATTATTAGATATTTGTGTCGTGTTGAGTGTTGCAAATGAGAAATGTAAAAGGGAACCAATATTTCTTTAAAGCAATTTCCGAAAATGCCCCTAGAAACTTTCCATTACTGTTTCTCAGAGAGTATTTTGGTAAAAAATTCTAAAAAGGGGCTATTTCAGGCAGTCTCATTTAGTCCTGGGTTCGGGCTACAAATTGGATTGCGAGCCTTCTGGTCCAGTCTGTTTATGAGCTCCTTGGAACCCTGGGCTTAGCTAGATTCACCATTTTGGTGAATAGATCCTAGAGGCTAAGCTTCTCTGGTCCTGGTTTGAAATGGCCATGTTGTCCCACATTATAAAAGTAAACCCTGGAATACTATCTTGGCCCCACAGGACCTTCCTAAGCATAGTCATCCCAGTAAGGGATGTTTGGGTTTATGATATATCAAGTGCATATTTGGCAAGGTTTGTACTTGTGCTGTAAATGCATAGTGCTATTAAAGTGATTATTCAGCAAAAGTGTTTTTAGTAAAGAAGTTGTTTTGCGTTTAGTGAAAATACTTGTATATAGTGTTGTTACTTTGAAAAACATAAACTGTTATATTTTGTATAAGTCACTGTTGATATTGAATTACAAAAAAGAGCATAACAAATCTTGATTGATTTTTTCAATAAATATGAATTAAAACCTTAACTAACTAATATATGTTTAACAAATCATATAAACCTTATACCTAAAATATAATGTAATATTATATATACATTAGGTATCTACAAATAAATTTATGTTATATAAAATAACTTAATATATATACATATATGTATATTATATATAATATGTATATAATATAATATATTATATTTACTTAAGAGTAATATTGGAAAAAAATGTTAGAAACAGAAGCAGTTTTCTAAAAAGCATGTATTTTTAACTTATGTGTTTAAAACCTATTAAGAACATATTTTACCTTTAGTTTTGACGAAAAATACTTTAAAATTTATCTGTTTGGCTGCAAGTGCTTTGGCATTATAAAGCTACAATCAAAAGTTGCTGCCAGATAAGTCTCTAGATTTCCCTGACCGTTGAGGCAATCCTGAAGGGAAGATTTTATGTATTATGTGATTCAACGCCTTAAACTGACACAATGGTGGCACTTAAATACATTTCTGGATCTCTTTTTGGCTTTGGAAACTGTGGGTAGGTTCTATAGATTTATATTTTTATCTTCGTTTTATTTATATTTTAAGGCTTTATATTTCTGATTAAGACTTTGGATCGAAGACCTGATATGGCAAAATCATGGTGAGAATATTAATATGATCCTTGTATTCTGTAACCCAAAGAGTACACTGGTATCAGTGCTTTTCCAATCGTCAAAGACTTACCAACAGTCAGTACTGGTAGAACTCTGTGTAGTAATGTGTGATGAGAAGCTTTTTAACAGCTATAATGATTGTTCTTAAGAACGTATCCAGTTCTAGTTTTTAACTTTGTCATAGTAAAGAGCTTAAATATGTGATTTTCCCCAGAAAATAGAAAGGAAATGGATCGACACGTAGAGACGGATTATTATAGTGTCCAAACTTCCATTTTTTCATCAGTTGAAGCAAGGGAAACCAGTAAAAAAATAAAGGATACTTTGGAAGGTGTTGGTGATGTCCGTTTGACTGAGAATCAGGTGGATAGAGATAGTATTATTAACTGCAGTGCTATTAGGGATGACTTCCAAAATGAAAGGCCAGTGTCTCCTGGAACTCGTGCATTGATGTGTGATGAAAAAGATTCTATTTTGATGGCATCATTAGCAACTAGAATGGCAGGCCATTGTATTAAAACAAATCAGACGTCACTGAAGGAGTATGAACATTCAGAGGCTTATGCAGAGCAGGAAAGGCTTGTCTTAACAAGGTTTCGGGATTTTCTCAACCGCCTCATTACTTGTGGAAGTATAAAAGGTACTTTTTGAAAACTTAATTTTTATTTAGTAATTTGCAAAATTTGAATTCTAGCAATCAGTATCAAAAGTGAGCCTCTATGTTTCAGTTTGGTAAATATTATCTTCCATCAGTTTCAATTACATCTAATAACTTGTAGAATTATCCTGTAGTTAAGGACCTTTTAAACTGTATTGGATGGTGTGTTGGGTTAGAAAAAGTTGCTTCTGCAGTTGTATTCTTTCTGAGTACTTGGGACTTCTGTTGGTTTTAGGTAAGAGGCTTAATAATAGTTTGGTGATTAAGTTATGGCTGTCGTGAATCTTCATCATTGGATACTGCTTTCATAAAAAGATGAATCTTAAGTTTTCAGTTTCAACATAAATGTCTCTTTAAATGAAGCTTTAATATTTATGTCTGGGTTTCATGTGAAATCTTGTCCACTTATAACAAAGAGCCCAAAAGTCATACTTTTGCTGTTGAAAAAGCTGATTTTTAATCTTATCCTCAAAACATTTGCAAGTTAAGAGACAATTTATTTATCAGAAATTGGTGAATTTCTCATCAAAATGTTGATGAATTTTTCCTCTTCAAACTGCAGAAACAATGTGTTCACCAATGACCAGAAGTGAAACGGCGAAAGCTGGGACTAAAATAGAGAATCAGAAACAGACTTATTGCAATGGCAATTTAAAACCTTCATTTCCCATGTTGGTGGAGAAGGCTGAGACTGAAACTGCACCGATTTCTTCATCGAGTGATGGTCTGACTTTAAAGGTGGGTTTCTCTGTTGGGAAAGGGGAGGTGAATTCAGAAACCAAAAATAAGCGAGAGAAGTAGCTTCAGGATCACCATTGTGGCATGTTGTTCAGCCTGTTCGCATTTGCTGCTTTTAGTGCATTTTAATTTTGACCTTCGTTCTTGTTGAAAGTGCTTAGGAGAATTTGTTATACCAGGACACTGTTCTTAAATAGCAGTCGGACACTTATTCGGTAATTTTTAGATTGTTTTAGGTTTTAGGCTGATGTCTGATTTTTGTGAAGCTTCGGTTAGTTCTATTTTTCTTGTATATGTTTAATAATGGCAGTTGTGCTGGGTTCATTTGACGCTCTTTACTCAGCACCTAATTGCAGCATTGTCTTTGTAGCTTTCCAGGAGTAGGGATCAGCGGCCAACCTGCCCGTTTGTAATAGATACATCTGCAAATAAAGCGGCCTTGAAATTCAATATGCTCTTGCAACTAAGATATATATATATATATATAGAAATATTGCAATAATTTAAAAATGAAGTTCTCTGTGAAATTTGTTTAAATTAAACTTATATGGTTTAACAAGTGTAAAGTAGTGCATTTTACAAATAAGTTTTACATATAATGGCAAATTTACACTTAATTCAATTTAATGTAACAATAATTTTCTTCAAAATAATAAAATTGAATTCATATGAAATTTTATCTAAAATTAAAATAATATATTTTAGAATTTATCAAAATCGATAGAATTTAAAATGAAACATGATAATTTTATAGAAAATTTTATATGAATTTAATTTTTTATTATGTTTAATAAATTTTTTTATTGTTTCTTAATTAAAATAAGTGTATATTTATAAATGAATTTTATAAAATTATCTTAAATCACATATATGCACGAAAAAAAAAAAAAGCATTTACATCGAATTAGTAATATAATATAATATCCCTACCTTGAATGTCCTCTTCATATGCTATTTTTTTAAGAGGAATGGGTGTCAAGTCTTCAATCAAGGTTGGAGATGTTTGTTTATAAGAGTTTCTTATTTCTAAAATTTATGGTGACTAAAGATCTTTCTCTCATCTCAACTACTTAATATCCCTTTGTTATGTGTTAATCATCTTGTATCACACTAGCATCGTAAAAAGTAAAATTTTAATTTAATTTTAACATGAATGCTATTATACCCTTAAGATTTAAGGTGGACCCTTTTATAATTATATTGAATGAAGTATAGGACTTAATGATAATTCGTTTTGTTATAAGTGTACTTTACTTTAGATGAATTTATACGATCAAAGTAGTGGTTATTAACCCCTTTTGATTGTATAATTATATTGTCAAAGTCAATAAGTACAATTTGATACTTTGAGCAAATGCATATTTAGTTTTATTTGATCAAAACTTTACACAAATATTATATTCACATATTTTCCTATGTTTATTAATGCTCTTTCATATCAAAATTTGTAATAAAATGAGTCATTACCACAACATCATTATGTGGTACACAAATTCCTCCAAATCTGTATTAAAGAGGGTAACCAAGTTATTTGATTTGTTTCCGAGCCTTTTGTTAGCATGATACACCTCAAATCCTCATACATGACGTTTTTCTCCATTGGATGACTTTCCTTTAATTGTTAAATCTATTAAGATGGGTAGATAACTCTAGTTTGTTGAAGATGTTAAGTTTGTTAAGATGGATGAATACTCCAACTAGTTGAGAATATTGACCCTAATGTTTCGTATACTCCATTTGACACTCCAAGGATTCAATATCTCAATTTTTATTCCTCAATCCATTTGGTTGAAATTGTCGTGCTCCTATTAAGATATCATAGTATGAGAGGTAAACTTATCTTCCTGATAGATGTCTCATTGGGCTATTTGTACACTTCTCCTAAACACCATACTTATCTTTCATTTTCGATAGACAACATCAAATATTGATTGGAGGATATGAGTGTTGTGACTAGATCGAGATTGTCAGTTATTGAGTGAGTTGCATCTATAAAAATTAATTCTTAATTTTTATTCTAAAAAAAAAAAATTTCAATATTCAAGTTAGTAATAAAGAACTAGGCGACAAGCTTAAAGAGTAAGTGAGAATTTTGAGCGAAAATGAGTACGAGTCTGTAGCCTCCAACTTTTAGCTCATCAATTATTAACTTCCGTTGAGGTCAATTTGCATTATAATAGGGTTATTACAATCATAATGTAAAGAAAGGGTTTATGACAACTTATACATAATTAG